TATTCTGGATACTTTATGCAACTTTTTGTCCACTTTAGACTGACCCTAAAGTCAATACGTTTGCTAGCCACTGTCCGACTGCCACAGGCTGTGGCATGAACAGCGTTCCCGGTAGCGAAGCATCCAGACGGTTGGATCTAGCCATCGATCAGCCAGCTTCCCACTCGATTAACGCTGATGGCACTGAGTCTCCTTTTCAACAGATCTCTAACTTCTTTGATGCCGCGGCTGCCTCTTCATCTGACGAAGAGGACTGGGATCCCTACCAAGTGGCCGCGAAATTCCTCGCTGATGAGCGCTGCCACTCGGCGCGCCTGGAGCGGATGCTGGAGTGGCACCTCCAATCCCTCCGAGCCTCTACCGACTTGGAGGTGACTGCCCGGGCTGATCTGATCGCAAAACCGACAAGGGTGACTGCAGAACCCACTTTTGCGCCTACTGCGTCCTCAGAAGCACCCTGGTTGCTGGCAAACGAGCTTAGGGTTGGCAACGACTGTGCTACAGTGTTTGTGGGCGTCTCCAATTAGTCGAACCTCGGATGCATTTGTTTCTTCAACGCGGTGTTTGCATTTTTTGCCCCAAATTGCAATTTGCTGGCTTGACGCCGGCCACTCATGCCGGAATTTTTATTTTAATCTTTTATCATTCCCCGTCGCCCGCCCTCCCGCCCTACCTCTTATGCTTTTATCTGTCGTGAATTTTATTCTCACATTCCCTCTCCCTCCCTTTCAATAGCCCTTACTAGGACTTATCGGCAGAGACTTGCGAATTTGCACAATTTGTATAATTCAGATATAAATTACAGCTTTAATTTTGACACGCGATCTGCCTTTTGATCGCGGCTTTGATTAAAAAGGCCTTAATAAATGCATTTACAGAGTCTGGCTTTTTTGATGGATGAGGGACTGGTTTCGGCGGTCGCTGTTAACAGCCAAGCCTGCCTTCTGGCTACCACGAAGCCCTAAAACTCGTGTCTTGTTTGACAGTCGATTGACTGGACAGCTCAATCCGGTAATGCTTGCTTCATAATTTAACCTATGTGACACTTTCACTTGTGTGAGTTCCGGGGCTCCCCACTTTTTGAAGCATAGTTCGCACGAAATTAAAGAGAGCCTTACTCGTGCGCAGTGTACACGGGCAGTTTAGATTGATCAGCCGCCAATTCTACCGTTAATTTCGTCTATGTCCGCCATATGTCCCAAAACATGGTGGTGCAGGGACGGGAACTTGTGCGTGAATTAGTTTAAAATGATAGTGGACTTGCGCCGCGTCTACCGTTCCCTCTATTTACTCGCCCATCTGTGCTCGGTTTCAAGAAGACCGCAGGTGGGATTGGATGAAGGTGGCTGGCGCGGCCGAAGCCGCTCCTATACGCGCCCCCACTTCCTCCCCCGTGTTCAGCATTTCTTATCGGTGCTCAACCTTAATAACGCCTGCGGTACCCTGACCTGCTGGCTCAGCGCATCTACCATGCGACTTGCTTCAGGGGCAGCCACTGAATTCATTTCTGACGTTTCAGCTTTTTCCTAGATTTGAAACAGTGGGTTTGGAAGGAGTGATATGCGTACAACGCAAGATTCGTCTGTTGTAGCTTCTTCATATTCGGGTCACCGTTTTACCCTCCGGAACAGTGGTGTTCCTCGTTGTCTGTGGCCAATGAACTATCAGATAGCGTATTTGCGAAGGAGGATTGGCTTACGAAGATTAGTGTTAGGATGGCCGAGTCCTAAATTAAAAATGTACATTGTATATTTCAGGGGTTGCAGGCAAGGAATGCGAATGAGGACTTTATTAGTATATAGTAAATAAATCGATTGTACAGTCAATATAAAGCTGAAGACAGTGAACATAACACACATTTGAGTGAGTTGTCGCGGGACATTGTGATACAATTTTCGCAAAAATTGTCGTGAATTTTATTGCCAATCTGCTCTGCATTCGTTATTGTAGAACTTAGCCTAGAAGTAACCAAATATACTGAAAACTGTTCCTCTTTCATTTATAACAGAAAACGTGTCCATAATTTTTAGGTAAATCAATAAACTGGCCAAAACTTCCCCTTGTGGTCTTGACTTAATGTTCAAAAAAAATAAAGTACGCAGACATCCGTCGCCAAAACATATAACTAAAGCTGCCTTTCAAAAGATAAGTTGTTATAGAAAACTTTTTAATCAATCTTAGGCATATACATTCGTGGCTTTTGTTGTGGAGCTTAATTTTTCTTGGCAATGAGTTGACATGTTTGGGTGGTTCTGAATCCATGACACACACAGAGAGCTGCTTAAGAAAAAAAAATGTTTAAAAGCTCGTTATTTAGGTAAATGCTTTTAAGATATATCTTATTTTGAAGGTTTCGGTAAGCACGTAGAATAAAATCATTATTTATTGTCAATTGACTGAAGTCAGTGAAAATTGTAAAGTCTTAATTAGCATTTCAAGGATGATCTGAACTTCCTCGTAATGGTAATGTCAAAATAATTACAAAAACATGTGGCGGAAGGCAAGTAATCTTAGTGTACAAAAAAGTACGTTAACAATTGTGCCTGACAATTCCGTTTAAATCTGTTAGTCACTGACCGGCTTGTCCGCACGTGAGCTTAAGAAATATATTACTCCTGTGATCTCCTAACTGGGCATATCAAGCGAAAACGTGGTTGCCTTAGTCCAACGTAACTCAAG